CACACACACACACACACACACACACACACACACACACACACACACACTCTATCCTTGGCTGTATAACACGAGCTTTGCTTTCTTTACTGCTGATTAAAGTTTCCAGTAGAACATGGTAAAAACTAAAATGATTGCATTAGAATCTGCTCACGTTAAGGAGGTGTAACCCACCCTGTCTTTTTTGAACAGAGACGAGCCACCAAAACCAACCTTAGCTTTGGAGTATACCTATGGAAGAAGAGCGAAAGGGCATAACACAGTAAGTGTCCTTAAAAGACACTCTGTCCGTTGACACCGGGCCAATCGTGGTAACTTTGTTTTTCCGGGTTTGCTCTGACTGTCAGTCTGTCCGCCCACAGGAAGTTGTGTGAGGCGTGCTAATTGTACATTCTGGTGCTCTCTTGGTACATGAGTTGTGCTGGCTTCTGTTACACCCCGGCTGGGAGGCAGCCGTAGGAGGCTGGGAAAATATTTGAGTTTCTGCTTTATTGTGTCTTGACTGTGAGGATCTACTTCATTTGATAATTTGATCATATCTTTCTCTGGCCTATAAAGTATTTCTTTGGTCTAGTATGACTCTTTCCCACAAGTGAAAAAAAATTGTGAACTATCATCTGTCTCCCAAAGGAACTGCTAAGGATGTTCCAGTGAGCTGTGTTATATTTATAAAAATGTGCTGCATGCATAAAAATATAAAAATTTGCATTTCAAGTATCAGATGCTAAAGTCAGTGATAATTTTTGCCTTGTTTCCCTTAATCCATAAGTGTTAGGGGATAAAGAGCTGGGACTAACTCAGGATCAGGGCAAGGAAAATAACCTGGGGTAAAAACCTAAGAAAAAATATACTGATGGCGGTGGAGGGGGCGGAGAAATCTGAGTTCTATAACTCACAAGAATCCTTGGGTCATCTTTTTGTCCTGAATCTCTTGAGTCTTAAATCATATATTCAAGTATGGGAAAGAATTTTAATATTTCATATAGCAAAAAGTAAATTAAAAGGGAAGTTTTCCAATGAGGAAAAAGAGAGAAATCCTTTTTCAGTCTGTAATCAGATACCAACAATTGAACAATTTAATAGGTGAGGAGTTGTTGGTGCAGAATTGGGGGGGTTGGTGCAGAGGAGAATATTAGCAATGAAAATGCTTCTTATAAAAATGGCATCAGTAACCATCAGCCTTTACCCAAAGTGTTAATTGACTCATGAAGGCCAGTGTTCATTGTTCTTATCTAACTTCCCAGGGCTGAAAAGAGGGGCAGGGAAGTTGGTACAGATTACTAGGGGCATGCAGGCCTACCATGTTGCATATATTTTTGTCTTTCTTGGTAGTATCATTATTTGTAATTTGTAAAACTGGTGAATTTCAAAGAAAATAATAATAATATATAAAATTCTGTCAGTTATCACTCTAATCAACCAAAGAACTACTTACTAAGAACAGAATATATTTTAATATAATTCTTAACAAAATAAAATTGTATTTTATGTTTAGTGCATGCACAGTTATGAATAATGGCTTGTGAGCTTGTGCCATGAACTGAGAATTTCCAAGTATTTTTCACTTTATATGGATATTATCTTCTGTTTTTTGATGGTGTGTCAGGCAGCTTCATCTGATAGTGTGCAGTCACAATTACCCTGCATTGATTGTTTATAAAATGTTGCCTTTTTAGGAATAAAGTCAGTTTAGGAAATTGAGGTATACATTTTTGTTATTATGGCAAAGGATGTATTTTAAGTTATTTATTCTTTAATTACAAGAGGTTAAAATAGCCAACATATAGATTTTTAGCAAAGATATTTATTTTGACTATATTTTTTCTTAGTTTTTAAGTAAACTAAATATTGTCAAAATTATAAAAAAAATTTTTAATTTATTTGAAAAAAAAAATCAGTTGCATTTTGCAAGTAGTTAATCTGCTCCCCTCCCCTCCTTACCTTTTCCCTCTTCTCTCTTTTCCTCCCTTCACTTTCTGGGGAGCTCCTCAGTTTTTCACCCTGATTGAATCCACTCTTTAAAGCCCCACTGCTTCCAAACGTTCATATGCCATATAGCAATAATAATAATAACAACAGCAACATTTATATGACACCTACTGTGTGCCAGGCACCGTACTAAGCACTTTTACAAATACTATCTCATTTGATCCTCACAACAGCCCTGGAAGGTAGGTACTGTTATTATCCTCATTTATACAATTGAGGAAACTGAGGCAAACAGAGGTTAAGTGACTTGCCCAGACACAGCTACTAAGTGTCTAAGGCTGAATTTGAACTCAGGTCTTTCAGACTCCAGGCCCTGTCCACTGTGCAAGCCAGCTGCAAAAAGTTTTGCTCATTTTTTCCTCATAGTAACCCTGTGAGGTAGGTGCTCCCATATCATGTTCTGCACTCTAAAATCCATCATGCCAAGTTCTTGTCCTCTAGTCTCCCGTTTCTTAGACATTTTGTCTGCAAGCACCCCAGCACCACTGGAGACAGCTCAAGAGACTGAGAGCTCCTCAGCTTGAGGGCTGTTGAGAGAGAGAGAGAGAGAGAGAGAGAGAGAGAGAGAGAGGGCATCAGCTGACAGTCAAGAAAGGCTTTCAGCTAGTGGGGAATGCTCCTGCTGCTTATTATTTGGCCGTTGTTTCTCATTTTGTATCAGCTGAGGCAGCCCCACGGCAAACAGAAGCAGCTCTTCATTCCTTCCATGGTCCCCAGACCACCATTGGATGATGGCAGTCGATACCACCAAATTCATCCTGAGCTTGGGCAGCAGAACATCTAGTTAGAGGTTCACCTAGGCACTTCTGGTTCATCATCCATTATTTCTGGCCTGTCTGTGTTGATGCCTTGTCTGTAAATCTAGTTGAGATTGCAAGCCTCAAATCTTGGTCACATGATGGCTATGTAGCAAGTGACAGCTAGGTTCTCAGGAGTATTGTCTTTATGTATGTGTAGAGATCCTGAGGGAGAAGGTACGAGAGGACCTGGGCAGGGAAAAACTTGGAAAGGGGGTTCTTCAGAGACTGGCAGCCTTTTCATCCCCTTCTGTATTCTTCCTCACCCTCACTCCCATTTGGTTATTGTTCCTGCCTAAATCTTTCTGTTCCCCCATATAAGTTTCTGAATGCTGTCACAAAAATAAGCAGTCAGCTCATTTTTAAGTAGAATTTCAGACATTGCTATTTCTTGAATCAGTATGTATAGTATTTTATTTTCTTTTTTGACTACATAATTATTTTATTCACAGAGGTACTCTTCTTTCTTAAGATTTCAAAGAACTTCACAAACACCAGAACAACTCTTGGGATATGAATATTGCTAATTCACATTTTTAAAAAAGGAAGCTGAGGCACGGGATTGATTACCTGAAACCCATGGAGATCTTTCCCTATTCCTTTCCCCATGCTTGAACTAGGGGACAATTTTATAGTATTTAATTTTCATTCTTACCCTATAGATTCACCTTAAATTTGGTGCTTTGGTGTCTTTGAGATTAGAATAGAGGGACCTAGAGAAGATAGAGGAGCCAAAGTCTGTTCCCAGAAAAATATTTATTTTGCTGTTTTCTATATGTAATTGTTACTGGTTAGTGTGCCACAAAGCATTGGAAACATCTCTGTGTCTTTGAGAAATGAAAGTGTAGTAATAGAAAGGAAATCTTCCCCTTTTTTCCAGCCTAAAGACATCGCTCATTTTTGGGAACTGGGTGGAGGAACCTCTTTATTGGACTTAATCAGCATCCCAATAACAAATGAGACTTTGAGGTAAGTGAGGCACCTATGTGACACAGAGGGTGATCTAAAAGAGCTAACAGTCAGTAAATCCTTAGGGCTCACAGAGTGCACATCAGTATGCCTTGATAAGCAACTTTCACTGTATGTGTATTTTATGTTTGCTGCATGTTGGTACTTCCTTGTTGACAGTGTGTGTTAAACTGGTATGTTCAAAGTGGTCAGCATTGCTTTGGCCTTGGCTCTCTGGGATAAGAAGCATTCCCACCATCTCATGTAAGGACGCCCGTGAAACAGAACAACATGTCAAGCCACACATAGGGGAAATTTTACAAATTAGTTGGGAAAGCATCTCTTTTTCCAAGTCTTAACCTGCAGTGATCCAACTCAGCCCTTTGGGCTTTGTCTTTAGCTAGAGCTTGTAGATCTCTGGCTTTTAAATGATCGCAGCTGGGACAGAAAGTTTGAAACAAGAGGAGGCAGTCTTTGGGGGTTTGGGGGTGGGCGGAGGTTTCTTGTTTATTTGCTGACAGTAAGCAAATAGGATTTTAAAACAAAACTCTCACAACCCACTGGTAATTGTGGTTGTGTTCCCTGAAGATTATTGCCACATGTTGGTCAGATGAGATGCGACATCTCTCAGTGTCTCTGGGAACTCATCCCAGCCAACAAAAACTGTGTTATCATCGTCTTGTCAGCGTTCAATGTAAACTGTTGCTACCATCGTGAGCTGTGTATCTGCACAAACATCCAGATTTCCCAAATCATCTAATTCCCACATTTTGACCCAGTTAAGTCCTCTGTATGCTACCAGTTTCCAAGAGAATTGGAAATCCTTCTTTCCTGTTTGTATGCAGCCAGAGGTATTCCTGTTCTTCCCGCCTAGCTCAGGCCCTCATCACCTCATGCCTGGACTAGTTCAATAGCAGGCCTCCTGCCTCAAGGCTCTCCCACTCCGATCCATCCTCCATGTAGCGGCCAGGGGATTTTTTTAGAGTAGTCTGACATCCCCACCCCCATTCAATAACTTCCAGTGGCTCCCTGTACCTCAAGGATCAAATGTAAATTCCTCTACTTGGGATTTAAAGCTCGTTGAAACCTGGCTTCTTCCTGTCTTTCTATGATTCTTACGCTTTACTCCCTTTCCCACATTTTATGGTGCAGCATGGTGGCCTAGTGGTTGTTCCTCACACACGATGCTCTCCCTCCTGTCTGCACACCTTTGCACTAGCTGTTCCCTGGGGTCTGGAATGCTCTCCTTACACTCCTCTCCCTCTTAGAATCTCTGGCCCTACCTCCTAGAAGTGGTAGAGTCTTCCCCTCAAAGGTTACCTTCCATCTACTCTGAGGCAGTTTGGATCAGTGCATGTGTGTGTGTGTGTATCAGTATATAAGCATGTAGGTGGCACAGTGGATAGAGTGCAGAGTTAGGAAGACCCATCTCCCAGAGTTCAAATGTGGCCTCAGACACTGACTAGCTGTGTGACCCTGGGCAAGTCACTGAACCATATTTGGCTCAATTTCCCATCTGTAAAATTAGTTGGAGAAGGAAATGGCAAACTACTCCAGTATCTTTGCCAAGAAAACTCCAAAAGGGGTCACAAAGAGTTGGACATGACTGAAAAATGACTGAACAACAACAGCAATACATACATATGGCAATGAGGCCATATATGAGACAAAATATCAGAGGCATATATGAGACAAAATCTGACGTGGTATGCAGTATTCCACATTTAAACTCCTTGAGGGCAGGTACCATTTTTTTTTCTTTTTCTGTGTATCCTCAGTGTCTGGCACATAGTAGGCGCATAATAAATGCTTATTGATTGTTTTGGTTTGCTAACTTTTCAAAGGCTTTTGTGGCTAGAATCAGCTTAGCAACATTGGTTTCTTGTGCTGGACAAGACCCAGTTTGAGAAATAGTCTTGCCAAGTTTTTACTGATACAGCTTATCTTATAAATAAATGGTTGGTCATAGATCAACTCTAGATACATTCCAGAGACATGAGACATTTGTAACAGAATGTTTCCTGCTGTTTGCTTCCTTGTTTGTGTGTTTGTGTGTGTGTTCTCTTGATTACATGTAAACAAAAATTTTTAACATTTGTTTTTTAAAATTTTGAGTTCCAAATTCTCTCCCTGCCTTCCCTCTCCACTCTATGACAAGGCAAGCAATTCTATATAGATTATACATATGCAGTCATGGAATGCATTGCCATATTAGCCCATATTACAAAAGAAAATTAAGACCAAATAATAATAATAAAGTAAGAAAAAGTATGCTTCAATCTACATTCAGACTACATCAGTTCTTTATCTTGAAGTGGATAGCATTTTTCATCGTAAATCCTTCAGAATTGTCTTGGATTATTGTGTTGCTGAGAGTAGCTGATATTCACATTTGCTCACTGTACAATGTTGCTGTTACACTGTTCTCCTGGTTCTGTTCATTTAACTTTTCATCAATTCGTGTAAGTCTTTTCAGATTTTTCTGAAAGTGTCCTGCTCGTCATTTCTTATAGCATTCCCTCACAATCATATACCACAACTTATTGTCCTTCCCCAGTTGATGGGCATCCACTCAATTTCCAATTCTTTGCCACCACAAAAAGGGTTGCTATAAATATTTTTGTACATGTGGGTCCTTTTCCCTTTTTATGATCTCTTTGGGATATAGACTTACAAGTGGTATTGCTAGGTCAAAGGGTATGCACAATGTTATAACCCTTTGGGCATAGTTCATAATTGCTGTCCTGAATAGTTGGATCAGATCACAACTCCACCAAGAGTGTATTAGTGTCCCAGTTTTCCCACATTCCCTCCGTTGCTTCCTTGTTTTAAAAAGAACATCAGATGTCTTTTGTCTACTAATATAAAAGTTAACACCTTGGTCATTTTATGACCTTGAACCATGCCATTTGGTACAAAAGGTTAAGAAACTTATCCAAGAAATGGAAGTAGACAGGTTGAATGGTCTGGGAATGTACCTGATTTAAACTCCATTAAAACCTGGGGGCTAGACTTGGAAAAGTGGACAGTTTGCCAAAATTATGCTTACTGTTTAATGTCACAGAAGCGTGATTTTGCGATGAAGAATTAAAGACCATATGTCAAAATCTTGTGAACTCAAAGCCAGTTATGTGACAAAAGGACATATTGCACATTGGAAAATTTTTGAAGACATTAATAAAAAGAAAATTGGTCGTTTTAATGTGTTGAAAGCAATATCTGTCATTAAAGAAACATTTTTACTAGGTTTATTTTTCTTTTATTTATAATAAAATTATTTACACATGTGCAATTAATCCTCCACTAGGGACCACCTGCTCTGGGGTCATGGGTTCTCCATGTAGGGTTGGCCTTGGGTTCTCAAAGACTCTGGCAGTGAAGTGTAAGCTTGGACAACTCATGCCAGATTGTGTGTCTCTTGTCTGAATACCAACTGGCCCATCTCAGGCTCCTTACTGGGTTGACTGTAGCATGATGAATTTTTTTAGCCTCAATAACTCTTAAGAAAATAAAAAAAAAATTAAAAATTCTTGTTTTCATCTCTTATTTTTATATCACCTGCATTCCCCAGGGTCTCCCTCCATCTTCTCCTTCCATGAGGCCCTGAGGTACACTGGTACACTCCACTTTCCATTTATAATAACAAAGAAGGGGAAGAGCTCAGCAAAGCTAGCCAACATCATGGAATCTGATGTGGTATGCAACATTCCACACCCATTATCCCCGCCTCTACAAAAGTGTTGAGCAGGCATCTTCATAGAGCTTTTCTTTAGTACCCAAGCTTGGTCATTACAATTTTACAGCATTTAATTTTTATTGTATTATTGTTCCTTCCATTTATGTTGTGGTCATTGTGTGTATTCTTTTTGTGGTCCTGCCTATTTCGAGTCAGTTCTTATAATTCTTCATGTGCTTCTCTGTAGTCACCATATTCATAATTTCTTATGGCATAATAGTATTCCATTAAATTTGTCTGCCACGACTTATCTAGCCTTTTCCCAGTCAATTGACATTTACTCGATCACCAGTTCTTTGCTATTACAAAAGTACACTATAAATATATTTGTATAGAAAGGAGCTCTTCTTTTTTACCATTGAGCTCTTTGGGGTACAAGCTTAATGGTGGACCCAGCAGCTGTTAATGACCACTTACTAAGTAATAGAAAGATTTGACCTGTGTCATTGGTGGGTATTATACCCACATCAGTAAAATTACCAGTCCTTGACTCATTTAAGTATGAAACTGATACCTAATAATTTGTGGTCAGAAAAAATCTTTGGGAGCTTATAATATGAAATATTTTGCCATATTTCAGTTCAGTTCAGCATTTATTGAGTGCTTGCTAAGTATAAACACCTTAACCTGATAGTTTGAAGCACTTTATGTTCTGGCCCTGTGGTAGATGGACCTACCATTTATTGGAGGAGGGGAAGCTGGGATGGTTTTTTATATTTTAAAATTTGTAATTATGGTAAAAATATGCATTTTCAAAATTTACCCCCTGCTTGCTTCTCGCTCTTGCCAGACAAGAAAACACCAGGCTGTCAGATCCAGAAGGCGTCCTCGGCTTGGGCTTCTTTTTGAAGTCTTCTGAATTCATTTGTAGAGCTTGACCTGGTTCATCTAATGGCATATTGATGGACCTTGAAATTTTTCCATATTCAGAACTTCCCATGTCTCCCTAACATCAATTAACAGACTGGATTTGGAATGCAGCACATTTTAAAGTTCTTTATAGGTAACACTCTCAGAAGCAGCAGTACGGAAATGATGACAGACTCCCTCTGATGATCTCAACCCCCGACATGGCTGTGACCTGGGCACTACCACTGCTCCTAGATCCCAGAGAACAGCTACCCTACTGCAGGCCATGGGAGGCTCCCAGAACCCGCAAGGTCCTAGAATACTCCACAACAAGAGCATTCCTAGACAGCCATGGCCCACTTCCACCACCTGGGCTCCTGGGGAGACTAGGTCCATAGCTATTGGTCTTGTGATGAAAATTATAGGTATTGCTAGGCTGCCTTGAGACCTACACCTTTGGTTAAAGCATTGAGGAAGCAGATTCAGGGAGGGGGACCACAGCAAGGGAGCTAAAATAGCCAGTATCTAGGAGACTCCCCACTTATGGATACTCTCCTCCTCTTCCTTCTCCTCAAATTTTACTGCAGTGATTTACTCTCTTCCCTGCTCCTTCAAGTCCTACATATGTTTAACTGTGTATATCATTAGTACAGGGCCTAATACATAGTAATCACTTAACTGTTTGTTGAATTAAATTAATGAGGTGTAGTGAAAGGAGGATAGGTAGGAGCCAAGAAGGAGTATTGTATCATTAGTTCTTGTGGTTTAAGCTCTAAAACTAGGACATTTGCAGCTTATAAAGCTTTACATCTTTTTAGCTTCCTATTTCTTGTAAGTTTTTGTAAGTTTTCCTTGTGGTGCTTAGTAAAAATCCCCTTCTTAAAACATCTAAGAAATATACTGCCTCTGGTGATTATCTGTAGAGAAAGGGAAAGAAGCCATGTCCATTCTCATACCTATCTGGGAATGAAAAATTTCAGGAAAAAGAGGGAAGGAGATAGTGCCTAAGACCCAGGAGATACTTCAAGTGGGAGAAATACTGGAATGCATTTGTTGGCTGCAGTCACTCAAAAAGTGGTATTATTTTAATAATAGCATAGATAAGTGTTGGAACAAAGAGGGACAAAAAGCACTTAAACTAATAAAACTACCCTCACTCAACCTGACCCTTCCCCAAGTGAAGTTTTATAACTAGAATCGTTGTGGTTTCCTCTCCCGCAGCTCCCCACCCCCCCCCAACCCCCTCCACCCCCTGCCTTCAATGCCTTTTGTGCTGTAGTCTCTTTCGTATTTTAAGGGAACATTTCAACATGGTCAGTGCTGGAAATGGGAATTGTCTTGGGACTTAACAAAAAGGAAACATCTTTTGTTTCTTTAGGACATTCTCTTTGGTTCTCGTTTTGGATCTTTCCAAACCCAATGACCTTTGGCCAACCATGGAAAGTCTGTTGCAAGTCACAAAAACTCACGTAGATAAACTCATAGTGAAACTGGGCAAGACCAATGCTAAAGCAGCTTCTGAAATGAGACAGAAGAAGTGGAGTAATATGCAGAAGGACCATCCTGTAAGTTTTCTCTAGGGATTTTTCCTGAAGGCCTGGTTAAAGATAATAGTTGTGAACCTCACAAACAAATTCTTTAGATTTTTATGCATGACGTGAAATCCTTTTGATGCAGATAAACCTGTTCACTGGAAAATTATATCAGCTTAATAAAATCTCAGTAGAGAAAAACAAGATAAAAAAGAATTCTTATGTCTTCTTGTTAGACATCTACTGTGATTGTTATGGCATGTTATACCAGTCAAAAGAAATAGAGTGTTAAAGTAGTAGTTTGATATTGATTTTATAATCTCTTTAAAATGATGATAAAAACTAGACTGTATAAAACTCATCTGGCAAGAGACTAGATGAAGGTACAAATTTAAGCAAAGAGTGGAGTTATAACAGCCTTCACCTCCACTATATATTTTGCATTCAATCAGATGTCTGTCACATATTCACTATCTTTTGATAGTCTGACAACTAATTAAATTATAAAGTTGCAGTGATGGTAATACAAGTCCTTTAAATGCAATTGTGAATATAATCTTTTGGAAAATTTAAGAGTGTCCATATCTGCTGCAAATCTGTCTTATGTGTGTTTTATATATTTAATAAGGCTCATATCTATAGAGTACAAATGTTACAATGATAACAATAGCTAATGTAAAATGGAACCCACGAGAAGAAATGTTTCATAAGAAAAAGTGGAGAATGAGAGAAAAAATATAGATGGATCAATGATGTAGGAATGAGGACAAAGTAGATTTTTGAGTTCACAGCTGAAGTCAAGTTTTCCTATTTTAAGCTCTGAAATATGTGACAATAAACAAATATTGGTATGAACTCTATTTCAAAGAAACAGTGTCAAGTTTGAAGAGTCTGATTGTTCTATATTCTCTCTTATGGACAAAACATAATTTAAAAGTAAATGGAAATTAATGTTCTTATAGTTTTTCAAGTTGTGGAAAGATTGTTTTTGTTTTTGAGAACATAGTAGGTGCTCAATAAGTACTTGATAGGCTGAATTGAATTCTACAAAATTTATTTGTTAATAGGATCGTGAATTAATTGACCCATTTCCAATTCCTCTGGTGATAATTGGAAGTAAATATGATATTTTTCAGGTAAGTAATTCACTTTTCCATTTTCAGTTTTGTTTTGCTATGCATGCTTATCTATGTCAAACACTGTAAGAGTAATTATGAAATCAGAAAGGACCCTGGTATAGTGATAGATTTAGGATCCATGGCTGAAGAAGGCAGAATAGAGAGCCACAAAAAAATAGCCGTTATGTTGGGAATGAGGTGGGGCAAATTACTTTGGGAGAAGACTGTAAAATTTGGATTTTTTAAACAATCAGTGGGACTTCCCTGGTCCTATTTTTAAAGTTGAAAATTAGGTTCACCTACCATCTTTTTTTTTGAAGCATTTGGGATCCCAGAAATGTATGCTTTTGTATAAATTGTCTTTAGCTGAAAGCCTGAGAAAACAAATTTAAGAGAGCTATTGCTAATGCCTTGTTGAAAATAATTAGAGCAAGAGTGTGCTTGTCAGGAAGGCTGAGGTAATACAAGGTATTACAAGAGACCTCGGAATACAGAGCAAAGAAGAGATGATCGGCTTCTCTACTTAATCATTGATATCTTCCTTCTCTTTGTATCTAATCCTAAATCTAATCATTTTTTTTCTCTTTGTGAATATACTTTCCTTTAGGATTTTGACTCTGAGAAGAGAAAAATAATCTGCAAGACGCTCCGGTTTGTTTCCCATTATTATGGAGCTTCACTAATGGTTAGTATAGTCTTGGTTCTGGTTGGGAGAATGGGATAAACCCAAGTTCTTAAAGACAGGTAGTTTGTTGCAGTCATTTATTTCCTAATACAAGTTTCACCCATCCTTAATATCTAGCCCTGAAGGCAGGAGATATATCAACCATAATGTTAAAAGACAGTTTTATTTAAAAGATTCATTCAAAATAGAAAATATTAAAAACACGTTTTTAAAAGTCCCTAAAATCACCTCCCCCCATAGAATGTTGTAATGTGCCTATTCCCCCGTCCTATTATGACAATAATAATGACAATAGCTAGTTAGCTTTTATGTAGCAACTTTGAGATTTGCAAAGCACATTGTGAGATGAATGGAAAGTACTCTGTCAGCATTACGTGAGTCTCAGGTGTCATTGTTTAGGGAGAATAGGATAATAGAAGGAGCACTGGACCTGGGAGTCAGGAGTCCAGGACTCAAGCTCCAGCTCTAACACTTAGAACTGTGGGGCTTTGTACAAGTTACTTAAACTCATTGAGCCTCAGTTTTCTCATACATAAAATGGGAATGATATTTTTACTTCCTATCTCCCAGTAGTTGTGAGGGTCTGTGAAACTGTAAACTGTAAAGCAATATATGAATCTGAGCTATTAATCCTAAAACATAATTTTTTTAATGTTTCAAATAGACTTTGAAACATTAAAAATATATTGCTAAGTTTGTGTGTCATTGTCTTTCCTGCTGAATGTTTTGCCATACTGGAAATTTTTCTAAAACACTGCAGTGCAGAAAAATCTAGTAGCATTCTGTAGTGAATGAGTGATGTATTTTCAAGTGTGTTTTCAATACTTTGTCTTTTGAATAAATGTTTTAAATAATTGGTCTTTTAGCATCCTGCTCTGTTCCCTACCTTCAGGACTAGGTAGTATTTAAAATATAAGTAATAATGAAGTCACTTTATTTGTTTTTTGCTTTTTTTTCTAAGCATCATCTTATCTGTTTTCTCAAAGATCATATTCATTTTTTAGCTACAATTTTCAATTTTACTTTACATGTGAGGTTAACAGGATGCTGTATATGTATCTTTCCATGAAATACCCTTGAAACTGAGATAGATATAGATGAATGTTACCCAATGGCCAAGACAAGGATCACTAATCCTCTAGTTCTTGGTTTCAACTGCTAGGTAGTGCCCCTAGCTTAGTTCCAGTCAAAAGATAACTCTCCTCCTTTTTCAATGCTGAAAGTGAATGGGATACCTATCCCCTGGGAGACATTACCATGCCTTTGCAAAATGCCCCTTCTTCAGTGGATCGGTGAACTTATCAACACGAAGACTCCTTATAGGAATGTCAGTCAAAATCCACCCTTTTCTTCCTCTGTGATTCTTGTTCATGCCCTCCCGTAAATCCTCCAGAGAAGGTCCACCCAACCTACTAGAAGCCTTCCTCTGTATTTTTTAAATATTATGTGGGTATAATATGCTATTTCTCTGTTGTTGCTTACCCTAGCTATACAGCTGGCTTGCTTTATTTTCCAATCATAACAGTTGGATGGATAGTATCTTTCATGCCACTTCTTGAATGCAAATTTTTGTTGATAATGTTTCTCTTTCGTTCATCTACAGTTTTCATTTCACCCTTAGAGCTGGTTCATCAGTCACAGATCCTGGATGGATACTGCAGATGGACTTGGAGCCAGACTCAGGGTTGAATTCGAGAAAGCATTTGCTTTTGGGAAATTGTGCTGTGGTTCTAGTGATTCCAGGATGTTCCCTTGGGGAAATAACAGCATAAAATTTTAGCCTGTTTGCATTTTTCCTTTTTTTTTTTATGGCCAAAGAATTCGTCATTCAATGATTGACCTACTAATGATGAAGCGTCATTAGCTGAATGGAACCTGGGCAACAGGCCTAGTCTCTTGCCAAGACCATATTTGGAGTCTCTCTGTTTGGTAGAAGCTGACAGAGCCTGTGATCCATTGGCACGGTCTGAAAATCCAGTGTTGGCTGGCGTGAACAGGGTGGGGATGACCATGGGTGTAGAAGAATTAGAAGTTGCAGTGGCCAGAGCTCTTGGATGAGGCCAAGTAATTCCCACACTCTGCAGATGCCATATCTTTTGTGCTGAAGGGTCACCAGCTCTCTCAGTGTCTGGTGTTATTTACCTCCTCCCATTGTGTTTGGTGGTTAGGGAGAAGAAGGTGATCTGTAGTTGTTTATACGTAAATAAGAGTTGATGCTGAACTTCACTGATACTTCTGTTTTACTTGCTACTTGGATCACATTTATTCCAGCTACCAAAATAAAAGAGAGAGAAGAAAAAAAATCTAGGGTTGTCCTTGTAACATGATGAGGCCCCAGATTAGAACCTTTTTTTAGGTACACAATGACCTTTATTCCCATTCCCCCCACAGAAAAAATGCAAATGACTGACTGGAGCCCATAAATAGTCAACAAAATTCTCCTCTTCCAGAGAGCCCCATTTTCCCAAGGGTCCCCAGATCCTTCAAACCTATGGCACTCTCTTGTGATTTGGACTTCCTTTGTCAGGGAAGCAAAACTGTGCTTGCAAGTGGGACAACTCCATGACATTTCAATGGGGCTTTCTTTCACCTCAAAGACCCATCTATATAGAAAAGTCATCCTTATATACTGTCCTGAAGGTATGGGCTCTTTGGGGAGGAAAACGTGGTTGGGGTTATTAGATAGGCAGCCAGCCCCCTTCCCATGCAAATGATTCTGTGGTTAATAAGAGGCCAAAATCTGAGTAGCTTATGTTGTCATGGCTATAGTTCCTGGCAGCTGTTCCTACATGGAGGGTGAGGGGAAAGGAGAAGAATTGTAGAGGGTAGAGGGGAGGCATGTATGGTCTTCTTCTTTTCCCTGGAGGATCCAGGCTGGATTCTGGATCTCTTGAACTTGAGCCTGCTGGAGAGGTAATATCTGAGGCCCATCGTTCACGCTCAGAGGCTAGATCTTGGCATCACCATGCACTGGAACTCCTTCCATCCAAGATAGTGGAGCTCTAGAATTCTCTGGCCCCATGGTTCCATTATCTGTGGCTGCTCTTTCTTGGGCTGAGGGATCGGGTTACTGTCTCTCTTAGCCTGAGGCCAGTTCTCTCAGTGAGCCTATCTCTGCTCCCATCTCAAAATTTTAGGATTATAGATTTAGAGGGCAAATGGAGCTCTCTAGCAGTGCCTCTAGTCTTACCCTCCGTATTTTACAGAAGAGAGAATTCAGGCCCCCGGAAGTGAGGTGACTCGCCCGAGGAGACACATTAAGTTAAGAACACAGTTCTTGTCCTTCCAGGTTTACACCCTTTCCGAAGTACCACAGCCAACCTTTCAGAGACTGTGCAAAGAACAAAATTAGCTGTAGTACAACTTTTGTGGAGGTTGCAGAATGCAGATAATCTAAATAGGAAATACACCGTTTTTTAAAAAAAATTTGATTCTAATAGCAATAAAGTCAGTCTGTTTCAATCAGAGTTAGAGTTTTAAAACATTTTATTTGTAGTCTGACACTCAAGATGTTGTTATTTGTATATGCCTTGAATTAAGATGTAAGGATTGCCTGTAATGTAAAGTCATTTGGACAAACATACTGGAACTTTCTCATCCACATGGAAGTTAGCATTTAACTCAGCCACTTAAGGGGGCTATAAACTTGTTTTCGTGGCACTATTATTGCTCAAAACATTCCTAGAACTTGCGTTTTTGGAACTGCCTTTAGAACCAGTTTACAAGTCACACAAGAAAGTGTCTCATACTTTATCGTTGGATTTTAATGCTCTGCCCAGTTTGGCATTCAGCCTTCCTCTACAAGCTTATTCCATGTTCCCTTATTTCACATTCTCTTTCATGCATTCTATGTTCCATGTAGACTGGCCTGTTTTTCTTTCCCATACATGACATGGCATTTCCCATCTCCATGCTTTTGAATAGGGTTGTCTGTGATATCTGGAATTCAGTCTCTTCTCAGCTCTAAATCCCTTAGGTGCTTCCAAAGTTTAGCTTCAGTGTCATCTCCTAAAGGACCTACCCTGTACCTTGTGGACATGTTGTTCCTATCCCGACTATCTACGCCCCCCCCCCCCCCCCCCCTGACTAGGAGAGGAACTGTGTGCTTAGCTTAATGTATCTCCTTGGGTAAGTCATTTCACTTTCCAGGGACCTGAATTTGCTCTTCCATAAATGACTTTGAAGACAGAGACTTTATTATTTTTCCTTGAATCCCCAATGTTTAGCACATGCCTGGCAGAGAGCTGATGCTTAATAAACTGAATGACTAGTCATAAAACTTTGTTTTCAACTCAAATTGTTGTTACTAGGCTTTGTCAGACCCTGTATTCACCGGAGTTGACTCCAGGTGACTTTTGGCCGTTTCCAAAACTCATATCTACTCAGGATGTTTCTACTACTGAGAATTTTCAAACTGATTGCCAGAAGCCTGAATAAAGGTTAACTGTCACGGAGTTCCAAGAATGTTATAACTTGTACTCTTTGAGCTTGGACTAGGTCTATGTGCCCATTCACTGATTAAGTTTGGGAAAATATCCTTGTGGTGGCCATTGCTGGTGTGTGTGTAGGTGGTCAGTAAACATTTATTAAGCACCTAACATGTGCCAGGCATTGTGCTAAGCATTGGAGATACAAAAAAAAAAAAAAAAAAAGCAAGCCCCTGCACTCAAGGAGCTTATAATCTAATGAAAGAAGATAATGCACAAAAGGAAGCTCAAGGGGAAGGGAAGAGAAAGTAGCCAATGAGGGGCATGGTTAAGAAGTCAGAGAAGTTCCAGAGTAGTCCAGCCGGGTGAGAAATGAGGATATGTCTGGGCTGAGCTCACTCCTTAGGTGGAGGGTTTGGAGAGTGTGGTGCCACACTCCAGTCAGAGGAACAGAAGGTGATAATGAGGCGGAATATCAAGGGGTGAGTGTATGTGTGCGTACATACACACATATACAGATATATGTATGTGTGCACATCTCATTTTTTAAATGATGCTGACAGGGTTCACGTCATGATCCATGTGTGTGGGAGTGACTGAAATGACAATTCCAGAATGGCGGACTCTTCCATGTTTATATACATACTCAAGAAGTTTGGCTAAGGAAAATGTCAAATCTTTTTTCTTTAATTTCTTCCTTTTTGCTTTGTTTGAAAAGACATAGCTAGCTTTTAGGTAAATGGTGATTGTCCGATTAAAATGTTTTTATTTTTTCTGTTTCTCTGATGAGAAGGTACAATGTATCATTTACTCTCCTCATTTCCGTAGTTTGCCAGTAAATCAGAAGCTCTCCTACTGAAAATACGTGGAGTTATCAATCAGTTAGCATTTGGCATTGACAAAAGGTAATGTAATAAAAGACAATTAGGACCGTCTTCTCATGTAATTGTCACTATTAGCTATTTTCTGTGTCTAGATTTTCACGAAAAGGAAAATGTCTCAGATAGTTACTCAAGAGATCATTTCATTTGCTTTTTTATATTTAGTAGTTTATAGATTTTTACAGATAAAGTGTGATTAATCATTTTTCATTGAAAGATAGAGTAAAATAATGTTCATATCTTATTCATTTCCTTGGTTTCCTGTTTTCCTCACATTTTACAAAAATCTGTAATCTTTTCCTGCATGGTCAATGTCTTACATTGATTTTTAAGGTGCAGAGAATATATTTAATAATCACCTTTATTAGTCCAAATCCAGTATTATAACAGAAATAATAAGTAAATTCGATCTCTGTTTTTCCCTGGAAAATTTCTTCTCAAGGAAGCACTTTTAATATTAGGTTTCATTTGAGTTAATAGTCATTTGAGGAGAGTGTTTTCACCAGGTTTCACAATCTCTATATATAAAACTTAGCTCTAGCCTTTATGATGAGAGCATTTGTGGCAGGTGCTAAAATAAATTGGATTCTTTTTCCTTCTTATCCATGTAGCAAATCCATATCTGTGGACCAGAATAAACCACTGTTTATCTCAGCAGGATTGGATTCTTTAAGTCAAATAGGTTGGTGAACTTACTAAGATTGTTCAATATTTTTTAATTGCTTATTGATTTCAACCTCACCCATGTTCATATAAAGCTCCAACACCAACATTTTACAGGTTTTCATTATCATTGTTACAATAATTTCACAAGTATCAATGTTATACATACTGGGCATATTGATGTTTTGAAGATGAGCCATCATGTAGCAGACACATTCCTACTCCTAAGCCACATTCCACTGAAACTGTGCGCGTATTCTTCCCTTCCCCTCATTCTGCCTGACTGTCTCTTCCAGAGCCCCAGGGTACTAGAAAGGGTGTTTTGAATTATTTCGGATTTTCCATGTTCTGAGTGGTGACTGACATCTTCTACCTCAGCTGTTCTTGCTCCGCTTCCACCCCCACTAGCTTAAAAGTGACTTGACTTTAAACGAAAAGTTTTTGATAGTGATTCAGAAGGTCGGAAGATGTTAAAAAAAAGGAAGGAGGTAGCTTAGCAGATTTGGTGACTGAAAAGGAAGAATTTTACAGTTTTTAGGAATGGGAATAAACAAACGGGTGAGGTTTTATTTGTTATTACATTGTTATAACGTGCAGTTTTCTAGTATACTTTTATAATTTGGAGTCAAACTTTACTCATTAGGGTCTCCTCCTCTCTCTGAGAATGACATTGGAAAGCTTCATGCACAAACACCAATGGAGCTGTGGAAAAAAGTATATGAAAAAGTCTTTCCACCAAAGGTATGAACTTTTTTTATTCTCTGAAACCCAGACAGTTGGCACTATTAGAGAATAGTCTTGAAATAGTAGCGTGGACTTGTTGTAAGCATCCTTTTACTCCTTCTGTGTAAAATCTTTTCATTTCAGAGTGCCAGTACATCCAAAGAGACCAGAGACCCAGCCCGAGACCCCCAGTATGCAGAAAGTGAAGTTGATGAGATGCGAGCACAGAAAGACCAGGTACTGCCTTGTCCATTTGCTTTATTTCGTAGGAACTTCTACCAAAACAGTGACTCCCAAATTCACCAGGTTTTTAGAATCCATTTGTTATTAGAGTTTGGTAGTGAATTTTACCTCTCTGCTTAAGAAACAAAATTAAGATCATCTCAGTCAAGGTGGGTTAGGGAATTCACATTGCACTGGTGAATTCAGAATTCCTCCTGGCTCCTTTGCTGTTCTCAAGACTCCTCTGCAAAGTCTTCTACTTAAAGAATTAAAGATGTTACAGAGGCCTTTTTGTGGTGCCCTGTAATGCTCAGTAAGTCTCGGCGTTATTAAATATTAGAAAAGATTTGTATGTGGTAAAGTTAGTTGAGGCCCAAGACTGTGCTAATTTGAAATGACTGAGATGTGATATTAAACATGAAATACAGGTGACTTGGTGAGCACTTTATGACAGAGAACTTTTGGCTTTTTATGACTACTCATATTTTATTAGGTACCTTATCAGTTTAATGAAATCACCAGACTGAATTTTTAACTGTGCAGGTGATCATGAGATAACCATTCTAAATCCTAAGCAAGTAATTACTTGATATTCAGCTAAACAGAGCCAGGCAAAGCAAAGAATTACTGTTCCAAGAGTTACTTGAAGACAGTTGTATCCTGGCTTGTTATCAGACAACCTTTTCCAGTATTATCTAAATACCTCTCAGGACCCATGGAACAAGACAATTTTTAGGTAGAATTATATTAAACTGGATCATTTAGATGTAATATTAAAAGCATTCTATCCATATGTAGAACTTTTTGTAATGAAGTTTCTTTAGATAAACCAGGGTGAAAGTCAACATTAGGAAAATGGTGCAGATGACTTTAAGTGACCCCAAGACCTCCAATTAACTCTCTCTCTCACTTGGCTCTAGAGACTAGCTGAGTTGGAAGTTGTCTTAGACTATATATCTAGTAGTCAATAATAAACTCTACCTACCTATGTGAGTATCTGATTATGGTACACAATCATTAGTGTCATCATATTTTCTTATATAATTGAATTAACTGTCACTAAAGGACAAAAGGATTTCTAATCGTTATGATTTATACAAGACCGTTTATATGAGACCGTTTAATTTTAAACATAATGTTCAACTACTCTAAGGAAATCAGTTTAAGCTAACCAAATCAGGCTGCAGGCAATTAGTAATTTCAACTTAGATGGGAAAAGGAAAGACTCTAACTCTGGTGCTGCCTTTCAGACTCGTCATTATCACTGCAAGGATAGGTAACACCATCAGTAGAAACAGCCGTAGTTGGAGACCATTTTTCCAAGCAATGACAGATTTTTTTTTTTTGGCCTGCCTGAAAAGTAAAAATTCCCTCTGGAAGCCTTTTTCACAGTGGCCAACCTATAGCTATATTACACTTGAGTCATATGTTTTAAATATCCAGGTGCCTCCTTGGTGTAATTTGTATATTTCTGCTTTAAAGGTACTTTAAAAATTACAAGTTGGTATTATTTATTTGGTTTAAAGATAAGAATTATCCCAAACGCATTCATATACTTTTTTATTTCCTCGCAGTAGCTTCATATCCTTAGCTTCAAGCTGAATTGATTGATATTAGAAAGGATTTTGATATACAAAAATACTTTATAGATTTTTGTACCATTAACAAGTTATTAAAATGATTTTCTAATGGTTGCTTGTTTTTTTAGATGTCTTGGGAAAAACACATTTCCACTTTTATGGGTTTTTGTAGACCAGGCCTGTGTTCTTTATACAGAGTGCATAACAAATTCATTGACTTAGATGTGGATTTTTATCTGGAAAAAAATATACCTAGTTATTTGCACGTATTTCCTCAGAGTGACTTTCTAAGTTTATTTATTACTTGATTATTGCTAAACATACCATCTTCATTGAAAATAACATTTTTATTTGATCTAAAAAGCACTGTGATAAGCTTCACCTGGAAAAAAACAATTCTCTAGCTACATTCAACTTTAAAATGTCAAAAATTTTCCATAATTACCTGAAAGTGGGTCGTTTTTACAGGAGCAACACTTAATTGCTTAGAGAAGCTCATTTTTCCTTCTTTTAAATACTGATACTCCGTCGATTAGACATATGTCTCTTAAAATACATCATTGCTTTCATGTTAAAAACTGAAATATTGCATTTTGATTTCTAACACATCTTACAAACTTGGTGTCAATTTACTTTCATGTAACAGGGCTTTTTCTGATTTCCTTGGGCTTTGTAGGAGGAGAGATAGTTTTTGGTTTTTGGGGTTTTTTTTGCATTGAACTACAGTGCTACATCATCTCTTGATTGGGCCTGAACATTGTATAGTTTGGGGATCCCTATCCCCAGCTTCTGCTCTACACAAAAACTTCCTTTTCTGCCTTTGGCTCTGAAGAAGAATGGATACAACACCATCATACCAACTATCCATTTTATTGAGAAGCAGCGATGCTGAGCTTGGAGTCAGGAAGAACTGAGTTAAGATTCTGGCACAAACATGCATTAGCTGGGTGCCCCTGGGCAAATAATTTAACCTCTTTTGGACTCAGCTCTTCCTCTGTAAAATGTGGGGGTTAGACTCAATGGCCTTTAATGTCGAATCTGGCTCTAGGCCTATGATCCTCGTGTTCAAATGTAGGAGGATTCTGTTCTAATGAGTATAAATGCTAAAAATCAAATTCTCAGGCAATATGAAGTGGAAGATAAAACAGATTTGGAGCCCAGGCTGTCTCTGAAAAGAAATGCCTTGAGTGTAGGAAAAGAATGTAGAGCCTGGAGTGCTGCCTTTACCCCTGCCTCTTTCCTCCATCAAAACTTTTGAATCTTTATTTGTAAGGTATGGTCATGGATAGAGCACTTGAGAATTTCTGGGGGTTGCAGGTCATTAGAATATTAGGAAAATGATGGGGGTAGAGGGGATCTACTTCATGAGCTCCCCTTGTTTGTAGCACAAATATTCATGCATCCAACAAAGTGTTATTAACCATCTCCTGGGAGCCAAGCTTGCTGGGCAGTGGGGGAGATGGAAAGACAAATGAGAGATATAGGCTCTGCCCTCCAGGAGCTTAAACTTCAGAAGGGGAGATAAAATAACCACAGTATTCAGAGAAACACAAATTAGAAAGTGACAAGTACGTAAGAGGTATGTAAATTGCTATGAGATCAAATGAGAAAGAAATCACTTCCAATAGAAGTATTAGGGAAGGACACTTCATGGGAAAGCAGTCATTTGATCTGGGCCTCTAAGAATAGATAGGGTATTAATATGGGAAACGGTAGAGAACAATGTCATGATCATAGAGAATGGCATGAACCCAGGTCCAGATACAGGACAGCATGATGTAATCAGGGGAGAATGACACAACAGGCCATGAAGCACTGGTGGTAGTGTGAGATATGGTTAGAAGGGGTGAGTTGAGGTCAGATTGTAGAGGACCTCCATTGTTGGTCCAAGGACTTTGGTCTCTATTCAGTGAGCTGTAGAGAAGCTATGATGGTATTTGATAATAGAGTAAGAATTATTCCACAATGTGAAGTAGTATAGAGTTCTATAATGGAATAATCATTATACCAAGAAAATTTACCTGGTGTGTAGGATAGATTATGTCAGTACCCTGTTTCTGTCTTGTCTGGAGAGCAGAGCAAAGAACTCTATAAAGAGGGCAGCCTTCTTTCTTTCCATTTCCTACCCAGCTGCATTTCTTTGGACTAGACTCCATCAACTCCCTACCCTCTTTTTAGCTTCCTTTTATGTGTTGTCTTTCCCCATGGGGGAGAGACTGTCATCTTTTATGTATTTGTATCCCCAGGGCTTAGCATGGTGCTGAGCATATAGTGAGTAGTTAACAAATGTTCATTGACTGACAAGAGGGTAGAAGGAAAAAAAAGTATAAATGGGAAGACTTGTTGGAAAACTGTTTTGATAGACTAGGCAAAAAGGTAATGGAAACCTGAACTAACATGGGCATTGTGGATCTAGTAAGAAGGGGACTGATGCAAGAGATATTGAGAAAGTTGGCTCATTGGCAGCCATGTGGGGAGAAGGAGGAGTCAAAGGTCTTTAACTCCAAGGTCACACACATGAACAACTGGGGAGAAAAGTAATCAGCTCAAGAAGTAGAACTGAATATATTAGAAATGGTGTAGGAATTAGCTTGGGGCCTCTAGGAGGCACAGTGCATACAACAGCACTCAACCTGGAGTCATGAAGACTCATGTTCATGAGTTCAAATCTGGCCTCAGACATTTCCTGGCCTTATGACCCTGAGCAAGTCACTTAACCGTCTTTACCTCAGTTTCCTTATCTGTAAAATGAGCTGGAGAAGGAAATGGCAAACTACTCTAGTATCTTTGCCAAGAAGACCCCAGATGGGGTCAAAAAGAGTCAGACATGACTGAACCACAGGAGGATTTAGCTTAGGCCTCTGAGGTCCCAGCCAGCCCTGAGATCCTGTGATTCCTCAGTATCACAGGTCAGCACCTTTATGATTAGGAAGTTGTGTGGACAATTTTCCTAAATCCCCTCTAGCAATGGTTTCCCACAAATCCATTTTCTTTAGTTCTACTCACAGTGATTTTGGAGGACCTCTTTACTCTCTGTGAAATTAGTGCTTCACCTAGAGCAAGATTGTTACTAAGAACCTTTCTGCATTCTCATCTGCAGATAGATGAACCTAATGCCTTTAGCTCTACCTCATTTGTTCTTTCTTCTCAAAGTCTCATTATTTTGCCGGCTTTGCTCTGGAACCTCTCCAGAGTTTCTCTGCCATCAGACTTTACTTGGGCCCTGAGAAAGAGCCTGGCCAGGGGGCAGCTAGGTGGCGCAGTGAATAGAGCTCTGGCCTTGGAGTCAGGTGGACCTGAGTTCAAATCCAGCCTCAGACACTTAACACTTACTAGCTGTGTGACCTTGGGCAAGTCACTTAACCCCGACTGCCTCACCAAAAAAAAGAAAGAAGGAAAGAGCCTGGTCAATGGTCTACTATTTTTTTTTTCAATTTTGAAGGTTAAAGTAATTCTTAACTTTAAAGGAATGTTAGTGCTTAAGGCATTTAGTTTGGATGACACAACTAATTTGTTTCCTCTATTTTTGGTGTCAAAAGAATCTTTTGAGGCAGTTTTAAAGTCTGAAGAAAGTATTCTAAAGCATTTATTCATCAGGGTTATTTTGCCAAAGGTGAATGAGCCTCATGTGTCTTCCTAAGTCCCCAAATTTAAAAAAAGTCAACTCATTTGTAGTTTCTTTGTTTCTAGGGCACTTTACTTTCAGAAATGTACTTGGGGAAGAATATTCATAATAGCCATTACTGAACCTCAGCTCAGTGTTTTTAACTAAATGTGAAGCAAGAATCTGTTTCTGCATCCTTTACAAATAAACTACTATTTGAACAAGAATTAAAGTAGTTGTTATTGTGTCTACTTTGTGCAAGGCACTGCCTTGGGTTCTGGGGATGCCGAGATAAAAACAAAAGATTCCTTGCCCTCTATGAGCTTACATTCTACTAGGGCACAGCCCTGCCTCACTTAAATCACACACAAGTCACGGCATCACCCTCACGATGTCATTGGTCTTCTTCAAAAACAAAGGACAGGATCGGAGGGCTTGGAATATGACATTCTGGAGGTCAAAGGAGCTAGGACTAAAAGCAAGAATCACCTACCCAGCAAAACTGAGTGTAATAAATGAGGGGAAAAATTGATAGTCAATGACGTAGAGGAATTTAACGCATTCTTGAGAAGCCAGAGCTAAATAGAAAAAATGACTTTCAAATATAAGACTCAAGAGAAGCATGGAAAGGTAAACAGGAAAGAGAAATCATAAGGGACTTATTTTTTTTAATTGAATTCATGTTTAATAATTACTGGCACCGTGCCCCCCCCCCTTTCCCCTGCCCAGGCAGCAGCAGAGGAGGTGTGGGGGTGGGTGGGGGGCTGGGGCGCAACGCCCCCAGCAGCAAGGACGGCCATCCCAAAAGTAATTTTCTTAAAATAAAAAAAAAGGACACCAGGGCTAGGTGGTGGTACCCCACCCCCACACCAATTTTTATGACTTTCTATCATAAGGGACTTATTAAAGTTGAACTGTTTACATTCCTATGTGGAGAGATGATATTTGTAACTCATGAGACCTTTCTCATTATTAGGATAGTTGGAGGGAATATATGTAGACAGAGAGTACAGGGTGAGTTGAATATGAAGGAGTGATATCTAAGGGGTGAGAGAGGAATGTACTGGGAGAAGGAGAAAGGGAAAGGCAGAATGGGGTAAATTATCTCACATAAAAGAGGCAAGAAAAACCTTTTATAGTGGAGGGAAGGTGGGGGGAGGTGAGAAGGAATGAGTGAATTGTACTCTCATCAGCTTAAGGAGGGAATAAGATACACACCCAATTGGGTATGGAAATCTGTCTTACCCTACAGGAAAATGGGGGGGAGGGGGATGAGATGGAGGGGTGATAGAAGGGAGGGCAGATTGGGGGAGGGGTAATCAGAAGTAAACACTTTTGAGAAGGGATGGAGACAAAGGAGAGAATAGAATAGATGGATCCAGAGAGGATAGAGAGAAATATAGTTAGTCTTTCACAACATGACTGTTATGGAAACGTTCTGCATGACTCCACATGTATGGCCTATGTCGAATTGCTTGCCTTCTCAATGAGGGTGGGTGGGGAGGGAGGAGGGGAGAGAATTTGGAACTCGAAGTTTTAGAAATGAAGGTTAGAAATTGTTTCTGCATGCAACTGGGAAATAAGATACACAAGCAAAGGGATATAGAAATCTGTCTTACCCTACAGGAAGATAGAAGGGGAAGGGGATAAGGGCAGTGGGGGGGGGGGGGAATAGAAGGGAGGGCAGATCAGGGGAAAGAGGAATCAGAATGCAGGCCATCATGGGCTGGGAGGAGGACAGGGATGGGGGAAAAATTTGGAACTCTAAATCTTGTGGAAATGAATGTTGAAAACTAAAAATAAATAAATAAATTGGGCGGGGGAGATCATTAAACTTGCTTTTCCACAAATCCTATTAACAAAAAAAAAAAAGGACAGACAACAACAACAAGGTACATCAATAGCCAAGATTAAGACTCAGCAGCTCTCTTACTGTCTCCTGGCTTTCTTAGTTACTCCAAAGTAGCTCTCACAAAACTTGTACCTGTAGCGATGAATGTAGCTGGATACAAGACAGTCTTCCTACCTCTCAGGCCTTTTAAAATAGGACTGAAATTTCCTGAGTTAACTCCAATAGAATTTTCAGCATCTGATGGTTCATTGATGCAACCATTATCATTAATAGAAAATACAATACGAAGAATTTGAGAAGGACCCCAAATAGTCTTCATTCCCTTCTTAGAATGACTTGACTTTCTGGAGGACCAATTGTGAATTGTTTTTTTTTGTCTTAATCTCAGTTGACAATTTGTGAAATATTCTAATAAGAAGGCATCTCAAAGGAGGGTTGTTAGTATTAGTAAAACCCTGAACACTTAGTTTTCATAAGGTCAAAATTTTGAGTTATTGTTTACACTTTATGGACTTGGTCTTTGAAATGGTAAACAGTAGATATCAGATGACCTAAAATTACCTGACTTAATTAAAATGGTAAGCCATAAGAGACTTTGAGATTTGTTAGTTTACAAGATCTCTGCAAAGTTCTTATATAGTTAAAGTTTAACTTAGGTTACAGGTATAACAGAAATCATCTGTAATTGTCTGGTAACAAGAAACTGAATATTATTCTCATAGAGGATGTGAACTTGAATTCTGATAGTGAGAGAACACAATTTATGTTCTTTCCTACAGGGTCATTTTTTTTTAAGTTTGTCCTAGGATCCAGAATGAGAATACTTGTATATAATTTGTATTGCAGTGTTGCTTGCAAGTTGTACCTACCTAAACTGTAGTACCCCTAACCCTAAATCCAGCCTGTAACCTATTTTGTCAAAGTTTAAAGGGGACAAAAGAGCTTTGTTAAACCAGTCCATTAATGGAAAACAAAACCTTAGGATTATTGCCAAAAATTCATGACACTCAGGATATAGTGTTTTATTAGTCTAAAGTGGGAAAGGTATTTTTTTGAAAGTGCTCAATGTAAAGAATTTGAAAAGTTGTTTATAAAATTTTTTATGTTTTAGGAACTGGAACAGTATAAAAAAAATTCTTCTAAATCCTGGAAACAAATTGAGTTTGACTCCTGAACCTAATACAAGTAAATACAGGCATCAGTAGGTTTGTATTTCTCTCTGAAATATAAGTAAGATTTAAAATTTTTTCATTCCTTGTGTTAATATATAAAATATTTTAATAGAAAATGTGTAACTACTATAAAAAGGCCAATTTAATAGTATAACTCTTCAAGTAACCTGAAAGTGTTTTTAAAAAAAAAAAGTAAAATCAAATACAAATATCTGAAAAAGATGAAAAAAAAAATATTGTTACCAGTGCCTCTAAGAATGAGATAATTGTGTTTAAATAATATTCTCCAACATATGTATTTGTATATTTTCTGTTTCTATAGTTTTATAGACTATATAAACTTATGTTTGAAATAGTTACAAATGGAGAATTGTTCTCTCATGTTATAGCAATATCTTTTATGAAATGGTTCCTCTGGAACTAAGGTACTTCTAATCTAGGCTCTGAAGTAGAAGGATACCCTTGAAGTGAAACTTCACCAGAGGTACCTCACAGTAGTTATTTTATTCCATCTCCTATAATCAATCTCATAAAACTCCTATCTGATAGCTTGGGTCAAGATGTTTGCTGAAGGGGTTGTTGGTATGACCAAAGTCTCAATAACTCTAGCGATGTAAGAATTAAGCTCCAATGTCAGTAGGGTAACCATTCTTGAAAAAAAATTCAAATCCACTAGCAGCATGTGTGTGTGTCTGCCAGCCAGCTTAAATGTGTAGAAATCTATCAGTCTGAGTACACAGATTAAAGTCTTTCAGTTGACAGATACTGAACTATATTATTGATGTCTCAAATTAAAAGCTAGCCCTCAACTTTTGGTTGGGTGGAAAGTATAATGAATATGAATTTTCCAAAAATTTAGAATAATTTGAATACTATGTTCATGTATTCATATAAATATTTCCTGGTAGCTAATAGGTAGAGAGGGTCAAGGAGCCTGTTTTATTTGCAGTTCTGCTACTGGGTTGGAAAAATTATTTACTCTGTATCTCAGTAAAATATATATTATACTTAGATTGCTTTATTTTTATTTTGCTTAGTGTGTGTTGTGTAAATCTGATTCATATATGCATCTGTAATTTTTTTAGATTTTGATATGAACCCAGAAGTCTTTGCTATATTAAAAAAAACAAATAAGTAAATTGTTATGTAACCTCTTTATAAAAACACTTAGGGACAGGAATCTATATTGGGCAATATTATTTGGAATCAAATATGGGCAATATTGTTGTGTTTTTTGTAGTATAGGGTCATTTATAACCAAATCCTAGTAATGACTGGATATATAACTTTTCTGTACCTGCTTATTTATAAAGAATTCATGGTCATATAAAAAGCTATTTGACATATATTTCATTGATGGAATTAATGCTAATAAATGTTGACTTTAGCATTAAAAAGAAGTATCACTTCATGTCCTAAACTTTATTCTCTATGCTTTTAACACAATTTAGCCTTTACATGCCAAACATAGATAAGAATAAAAATAGTGCTTTTAGTTCCTTTTCTCAATTCTCCTCTGTTCCAGGTTAAGTACTCATGCAGTCAGAGATCTGGATCTGGGAGGGTCCTTAGAAACCATTGAGTTCAACCTCCTCATTTCACAGATGAAAACACTGAGGCCTGAGGGATTAAGTGACTTGCCCACCATACTGAGTGGCAGGTGGTAAATGGCAGAACTAGGATTCGAGCCCAGGTTGTCTGACTCTTCTTCTATAATGCAGAGCTGGTGGGGGTTCACTACCCAAATATTCATGATCACTAAGAGTTCTATAATTTTGAGCTTATGCTGCATGTAGTAGTTTGAAAAAAAAAAAAGGGATCACTCTCATTTTATAATACTATGTCTTTAAATATTTGCATATATGTGATTGAATTTAAGATGTAACATGTCAGCAATAACTTGTGAAGGAAAGAATTAGGCTGACAGTTGTATGGGAAAGACGGAAGGAAGGAAGAAAGGGAAGGAAAGAGGAAGGAAAGGAAGAAAGGAAGAGAAGGAGGAAGGAAGAAAAGAAGCATTTGTACTATGCTAAGTGCTTTACAAATATTATCTCATTTCATCCTCACAACAGCCTAGGAGGTAAGTACTGTTATAATCTTCATCTTACAGTTGAGGAAACTAACAGAAGCTAAGTGACATGCCCAGGGTCACACAGCCAGTAAGTGTCTAAGGCCAGATTTGAACTTGGGTCTTTCTGACTCCAGGCCTAGAACACGCTCTACTGTGCCACCCAGCTAGGTGTGACATATAAAAAGTTCAAGAGACATGGTTTCTGAGTAATTAATCATTTTATTAATCATGCTGGCAGATAATTAATAAAAGGGGTCAGTGACATTCTTGAGGCCAAAGACTCCTCATAGAGCCCACTCAACCCTATATGCCTTTGGAAGAGTGGGTGTGCCTGAGGGTGGCAGTCAATTCTGATTGTTTAACAATTAATGAAAAGAATGAATATTATGAGAGATGGGCTTATTCCAAAGAGGAACTCTGATCATGCAGTCTTGGACAAAGAGACTTATCTCTTATCCAGACTACCCCATGTGGGTCAATCTACACAAAAGAGGCTCGACTTCTACTGAGACCTGACTGAGTGGAACGCAGTAGGCCAAAATTCACCTTAAATTAAATTGTAAGGTTTTTTAGTTGTGTGTCATCTCCCACCCAGGATCAAAAAGCATGTACCCCGGGGGATTTGGGCAATCTCATCCATCATCCATGTCCTTCAGAGACCAAACAACCTATAGGTTTCTGAAAAAATCTTGGTCCTAATTCAATGACTTATTATTAATGTAAGAGACTAATAATCATTTCTCTCATGGATTAATATTTTATCAGCCTAGTTCTAGTATCTTCTGAGCCATTTACTAAAATATCCAATCTCAAATTATGGGTTTGAGAGTCAGACACTCAAACACTTGCAACTTGGCAAAGAGTGACCAATGCCAGCTAAATGTTAGATCTATGAGCAAAACAACAATAATAAACCACCTGATTTCTATTTCCCTAACATCAGAAGACGAAAAATCGTGAAGGAACGTTTCATATATGATTATTTTCACTCATGAATAATAATGTACAGCACTTAGTAATTTGCACAGTACTTTTCCCACAGCAACTCTGAGAAGTGGGACAAGTTCTGTCATAACAGCTAAGGCTTGGGGGTGGCAGTGGGGGCAGTGTGAATGATGTGTATCAATACCTCAGTTGAGCCAAATGTGACCTTGGAGGTTCAGCAAGTCTTCTTTTATCGTTGTGTTGTCATGTGATGAGATGAGGAAAGTGCATTAAGAGGCCTGAAGTGCTCTGAAAATGTGAGGTCTCATTACAGTGCAGAACAGAGGTTTGGAATGGAAAGAATAGAATGATGGCCGAGGAGGAGGAGGTAGCAGAGGTAGCCGACTGTTATGGTCCAATTGAGGCTTTACCATGATGTAAGAAAATAAATCCGCCAAAATTTATTTGTGCTACATGAACAAGGAGATGTGAGGATGCACAGATATCTCCATGGGCTTTTCCTCATTATCTATAGTGCCGAGGAAATGCTACCTTAATCTGAATTTCAATCAAAGGGGTTAAGATTGGCATCAGGAATTTCTAGGATATCTTCTTTAGGTTAAGGCTTTCAACATCAACCTGACACATTTGATTTCTGTATCTCTCTCCCCATTACGCACCCTGTTGTTCCACCAAAATGACCTTCTCACACATGATGCTCCATCTTTTTTCTCTCTGCTTCTGCCCTGGCTGTGGATGCACTTCCTCCCCATCCTCTTCTCTTAGAAACCCTAGTTTTCTCCAGAGCTCAGCTCACCTTCTGCGTGAAACCTTTCCTGAGCCTCTTAGTGCCTTGCCACCCAAATTCTCTTGCATTCATTATGCACATACTTAGGCAAGCAGGCATGTTTTCTCTCAGTGTAAACACTTCGAGGACAGGGGCTGTTTTATTTTTGTCTTTGTATCTGCAGTACATCGCACAGTGTGTGGAGCTTAATAAACGCTTGTTGTTTGCTTTATGAAGAAACAAAAGTACAGAGAAAAAAATCTCTTATGCTTTATTTGCTGTCTTTATGAAAACATCTACTATCAATAGACCTGGGCTCTGGTAGCTTCTGAGCAGTTAATTGGTCCAGCATGTATATCAGTAGTCTTGAGTTGACTTAGTTGTACCGTAACGTACAGAAAGCCATCTACCTTATTTCTCCATTGCTACCACAGTGAAGCAAGGCTGTGCTTTCTACACCAGGAGATCTGGCCCCAGTGTATCTGAGAACAGGATGCTCATTGTGCTCCCAGCATCTTTAGCTCCAGGGAAGGAAGAGTCAGGTCCCTGCTTTTGTTCTGGAGGGAAAGAGCTCTATTCAGTCTAATTCTGAGCATTTCAGTTTTGTAACATCACCAAGTCAGGCAGACTTCATTTCAAAAAGAATCCATTTCGTAAGAATTGAGATTTTTTTAAATAGTTTATAACTTTTGTCATCTAGTTCAACATTTATTAAGGGCATTCTTATGTACAAAGCACTTTGCTAGGTCCTAAGGAGACAGAGATTAAATAATCCAAATTCTCAAGTATTTTATATTCTACTGGAGGGGGTGGGGGTGGGGTTGGGGGCAGGATACAACTTGTTAACAAGTAGATAATAGAGAATTTGAGAAGGGACTGAGTAGTAATGACTAGAAAGATCAAGAAGGGCTTCTTGAAGAGGAAGAGGAGGCTGATTTCTCATTACTGACACTTTTTCACTAGGGGGACAGATTATCATTGTCAATGTTCAAATGGCCTGTGGGAAGCCATTATTTTTTTTCCTAGAAAAGTATCACTAACATTTAGGAGATTGAATACACATACTATGTCAATTTTCCAAATGCTTCCAAGCTAGAATGAAATATAATCTGCATATGAATAGAAGGGAAATGTCTCCATTTATATTGTAGACTGATACTATGGTAAGTTGAAATCATTGATTTCAAAAGAGGTTCCTATGGGACTCTCTGTGAACTACTTAACAGATCAACTCCAGAAGTGTCTATAATGAGTTTGACATATATAATCTGTAAAGCATCATGTAACTGTTATATAATAATCATCAGTGTCAGGGACCTTTTGTTGAAGTTGACGATAATATTCTGGTAATTTCCCAATGTCTCCAAATCCTTAAATACCCTTCCAGGAATCAGGGTTTTACTGTGTTTTCCTTAATGAACAATTTTTTCTTAATGTAAGCTAGGTTACAAGCTAGGTAACAGTTGCTAAACAAGTCATGTAATCTCCAAGACATATTCTTCAGCATTACTATGAAAACACTGCCAAAGTAAATATACCAATTGCATATTTTCATTTCTGATTTGTGAAATTAATCACTTAAAATCAATCAGAAAGATATTCAGTGGCTTAACCAAAATAGCAAAATAACTTTTAATAGTCTTTTTTACAAGCTAGTTGCTTACCTAAAAACAGAAAATGTAGATGCTTGTTTTATATGGAGCTGTATATCAAACTTTAGATTTTTGACATCTTAGTAAGTAATGATTTTGTCCTCTTTTTTAGCATACATGTTGTATATACTGATAGGATCCCATGTTTATAGATATATTAAGAAACTCCTAAGAATATCGAGGAAATTAATGAAAAAAGAATGCAAAGGAAGGTGGCCTAGCAATACCAGATCTCAAACTATATTACAAAGCAGTAATCATCAAAACTATCTGGTACTGGTTTAGACATAGAATGGTAGGTCAGTGGAATAGATTAGGTACACAAGACACAGTAGTAAATGACCATAGTAACCTAGTGTTTGATAAAACAAAGATCCCAGCCTTTGGAATAAGAGCTCACTATTTGACAAAAACAACTGGGAAAACTGAAAAACAATATGGCATGAACTAGGTATAGATCAACATCTCACACTATATACCAAGATAAGGTCACAATGGGCACATGATTTAGACATAAAGGGTGATACCATAAGCGAATTAGAAGAGCAAAAAATAGTTTACATGTGAGATCTGTGGAAAAGGGAAGAATTCATGACCAAATAAGAGATAGTGAGCATTAACAAAATGTCAAATAGATAATTTTGATTATATTAAGTTAAAAAGTTTTTGCACAAACAAAACCAATGCAACCAAGGTTAGAAGGAAAGCAGAAAGCTGGGAAACAATCTTTACAGCAAGTTTCTCTGATAAAGGCCTCATTTTTCAAATATATAGAGAACTGAGTCAAATTTATAAGAATGCAAGCCATTCTCCAATTCATAAATGGCCAAAGGGTATGAACAGGCAGTTTTCAGATGAAGAAATCAAAGCCATCTATAGTCACGTGAAGAAGTGCTCTAAATCACTTTTGATCAGAAA